CCAGGTGAAAATTGGAAGCAAAATAACTCATTTCTTAGCTCTGGAAAGAAGGAATTATACATAGTCTTATTTTTACACAACACCCGTCTTCCTTTCAGAGCGCACAGAATTGGTAAGTTCAAAGCGGGGTGTCTGGGTGAGTGCTAACTGATTCCTCGTAGCCACTTCTCAAACTGCAGAGAAGATTTCAGTACGATTTTAATGGGGAGAGAAATTGTGCCTGGATCCGAAAGTCTCAAATCTGTGGAGAAGGAAACATGAATTCTAAGGACCTCGAGACATAGATTTTACAGGAAAGATGAGGAAAACAGACGGGAAACGAGTGTTGGCCACGTCAACTGTAAAGCATGAGAAAGATTTCTGGCATTTTGTGAAACGACGTCACGGCAGTTATAACATGAAAAATGTAGTTTCACTGCTAAACCTGTGTTAACGCAGACACTGCATGCTTGGCTTAGAGTTCTTAATTTTGGTCTTGACATTCACTTCATTTTCCCCTGTTAAATACGTAGTTTTATATCATTTACTCCAAGTACACACTGTTCACACTTTCAGGCCTTTGGGGGAACTGGTTTTTAAAGCCACAGACAGGAAAGAGCTTTGCACGACACTTGTTTTAAAATAACCCCACAGCGTGTTTCTGAACTTCTGCATGAGTCTGGAGAGCCACTCCCAGAACGGTGGAAAGCACCCTCTCGTATTGCAGTTTTGCCTTTTCTTAACAGTAACTTTGGCCGTTTTCTTCCGAGTTCATTATGTTTGTGTACTAACGCTCCTTCAGCCTTTTAATACGAAGCGTCCTAGCCGCGCTTGCTGTCCGCGCCCGGCGCCGCCGAGCAGAGTGAGTATTAACCCGAGTAACCGTCCCCCCCGACAGCGCAGCGCGTCTAACCTGCCTCGCAGCCGGCCCCGCTTCTCACGTGCTCACTAGCCATCATGCTCACCCTTCTTTTCCAGATCCACTTCCTCATGATACTGTCTTCTAACTGGGCTTACTTAAAGGATGCAAGCAAAATGCAGGCTTACCAGGATATCAAAGCAAAGGAAGAGCAGGAACTTCAAGATATCCAGTCTCGGTCAAAAGAACAACTCAATTCTTACACATAAATGTTTGCCAGAGGGTCTCAGCCGACGAATTCACAGCTCTGACAAATCATCAGACAGCTGGTCTGCAGTACAGATGTGTACCCCACCAAACAAACTCATGTGCAAGTCCAAACACGTCACTGTCTATCTCAAGCTGCTGGGATGTATTTCTAGGAAAATCTTCCAGTAGGTAAATCTTTTGCTTTGGAACAGATAGCGGAGGTTTTCCGTTGGCCATTTTAAAAGGCAACACTTTGCCAAAACGATGGTTTATCCTTCTGAAATTTGTGGCATGTTCACATTCTTTACTAGAGCAATCTGACTAAGATGGACAAAGGGAGTGAGGCATACTCCTTGATCGGGGCTGTGATGCGCCCATAAATTCAGGTATGCCATCACTCCTCAAATAAATATACCTAAACAGGGAATAAAATGGAATTGATGTGAAGTTCCACTTCTGACCGCTGACATTTATTAAACTGTCACCAAGATAATGCAAATCTTACAATTGACCTTTTTAAAAAAAAATTAGCTGATTTTCTCCCAAGTGCAGGACATATAATTTCCTGGTCCAATCAAAACTATTCTTCCCAAGAATTCTATAACGAGTCTACTCTAATAATTCTGCCACACCTACCGTGGACGAAGCTGGATGCCGACTGACAAGTCTTTCCAGAATCAATTTCATAAACTTGATTTCATTTGAGTACAGTGACCAGTTGGCATCATTCTTCTTGAGAAATGTCAGCTCTGCCTTAATGAGTATTTGCTTTAACTTTCTAAGAACTTACGTTATAAATAAGAGACCCCAAATCCTTCATAGAATTTTGTTCCACAAATGTTTTTCTTAATGAAAAAGTGTTACCTTATTAAAATGACCGCCACTCTAAACCATTTTTACGTGGTCTGAATAGTGAGTTTACACTTTCGTACCAACTATCGAAAACCTAATTACAAACAGGCCACAGACCTTCTACTTTTATAGACTTGAATACCTAAGTAATTTACATGAGGGTTGGTATTTACTTCACTTTTTCTTATCTAAATCTTACTTTCCGGAAATGATAAAGTTCAGTGTTCAGCAAAAACACAAAACAAAACAAAAAACAAACAAACAAACCTGCTTGAGTTTAAGCCATCTTCAAAGAAGACTTGCCTTCTAAATCATTGTGTTGCAGAACATGAAGTGACTGTAGGCGTTGGGTGTTAGTGGTGGTAAACTTTGTGTTGTTCTTTATGAAATGATCCATATAACCGTTGGGTGCATCAGTGCTTTTTATAAGGGGCTGCATACTATAGGGGTAACTATGTATATTCATGTTAAGAATTAACTTGTGGTTTGGCTGTTTCCTGGATTTTAAAACATATACATGTGCAGAAGTGTGTTACAATGAAAGGAAGCATACCTTTATCAGATGCTATTGAAATTGAACATCAAGTATAATATTCAACTTGGATTCTTTTCGTTGTTGTTAATGCCTAAAAATGCCTATTTGGATCTTGACAACTTTTGTGTTTTAATTGGGAGCAGCTCTCTCCTGTGTAGAACAGTTGTTCCAGACTAGCTTGGTGTTTTGTTTCCCTGTTGCATGACAGACTTAAATCTTTTTTCCAGCAGTGGAGGTGCTGTTAGAGTCCAGTGTTCTAGAAGAGGCAGTGTCTAAAGCCTAACTTTACTTTTCTAATTCTGGTAGCTCTTACCAGGACTTTTTGAAAGTTTTGTTTAAGTAGTCTAATATTTTTTATGTAAAGAGCATTAAATTTTGCTATGTACAAATTTTTGTAACCTAACAGTGAATCAATATTTTCTATCAGTGCCAAGGGCTTCCTGTAGTTCTATTCAAGTGTTACAATAAATATTTGTAGATAATAGTCAATACTTGTGTATGCTTATTTTAAAGATCTATTTAGGTGGAAATTGTTGTGGATGTATTAAGAGAAATGAAATAAAATTACAGCTTCATTCACTTGCCTTTTTACCATACATAAATACTCTTTCTCTGTCCTCAGTATGGTGTCATTTTTAAACAGCATGCATAAAGACTCCCATTTGTATGGAAATCAACTTTCTAAGTAACTGCTCCATGGTTTTCTAAGCAAGAGCATTCTGAGAAAATACCATAACCCACTGGGCTGGATTTCACATAAAGTGCCAGTAACACTTTAGGATATCATTTCTCTCACTAGCTTCAAACTTAGGGGATTAACACAAAGCCTTGACACAAAGCTTTAAGTTTGGGGGAAGCGGAAACAATGAAGAACCTTCATCAAGAGCCATGTTCCATTGGCTGTTTTACAAACCCAGGCTGGGAAAGCCTACAGAAGGAGCGCTGTAGATCGGAGTTACGCAGCAAGGCAGCAGAGCTCGATGTGTTACATGGGATCGCATTTTATACCCAAACTACTGATCTGTCCACATGAGTAGACATTTGGATTTTCTACACCTGCCCTTAGGAAGCACCACCTTTTGTGTCACTATTGACGCAGGGACATTTCTGGTTGTGACCCTTCGTTCACGCTCAGCAGAACTGTCAGGACCCAGCTCGTATCTTAATACCTTCTGTTTACATCACGTTTTCGGGCTGTTACTTCTTAACGTACCTAAGATCACACACACTATCTTAGTTATTGACAGTGATCCTGCCACAAAATACTGGAACCTCTAGAGGGTGAGGCACAGATTTTTTCCACTTCTCTCGTTATATCTTGTGAAATGATTTTAAAGAAATGAAACAGAAGTCAAAAGTACAGGGGCAGGACCTATTCATTTTAAAACCACCAAACAATACTTTAAGTCCATTAAAAAGTGCGGACCAAAGACTCCACACTAAAACTTTTGGAACAGATCCTTTTAGAGCTTTTTAGTGCTATTAGACTCATAATCCTGGCAAACCCCAGAGATACGGCGGGTTCCATTCCAGACTGCTGCAATACGGTGAATATTACAATCAAGAGTCACATGAATGGTTTTGGTTTCCCAGTGCATATAAAAGTTATGTTTCAATCATAATCTATTCAAGTGTGCAACAGTATGTCTAAAAAAGTTGTACATACCTTGATTAAAAGATACTTCATTGCTGAAAATGTTAACCATCATCTTCGTCTTCAGTGCGTCATCAGCTTTTTGCTAGTGGAGGATTTGAAATATTGTGAAAATTACCAAAATGAAATTCAGAGAAACCAAGTGAGCAAATGCTGTTGGGAAAATGGCGCCAACAGACTTGCTTGATGTAAGGTTGCCACAAATCTGCTTATTTATTAAAAACATAGTATCTGTGATGTGCAGTCAAGCGAAACACAAT